TCTATTATGGACTTTAAGTAGTTAGACAAGTAGCTTACTTCTGCTTGAAGTAATGCGACAGGTTGCACTTAGGTACTGTTAAGGTGGCCAGGTGATGCTAGACTTAGTTGTTAAGGATATTTATGTAATTGCAAATGTAGTTTCAAAATTTTAATAAAGTACTAGCGTGACTGCTTAAGGAAAAAAAAAAATATATATATATATAAATATTTTAGAGTTTAGTGCATTTCCAGACAGATGATTATGTTAATATAGGCTAAAAGCAGATGTGACACTATATATACCTTGCTATTGTAGTTTGTTTATTGACATGAACATAACTTTTTGTTTGACTATATCCATGTCTACAGACATCACTAATTATCTTATACTAGTTTTGCTACCTTCTTTTAGTTTTGCCACCTTTTAACAATTTTGCCAGTTGTACCAGTTTTACCACCTTTCACCATTCTAATTTTTTTTTTGCCAAAAGTCAAAACAGGGTTTCACTATTTATCTGTGGTAAAATCTTTAAGTTTGATACCAACACTATTTCATAAATTATCAAAAGTTTTATTAGTCATGTAATTTGATAAAACCTTTAATCAATTCAAAACTAATTTCATCAAGTATCTTTAGCTGTAATGAGAATTAATTAAATAGCATTATATATAAAAGTTGTTTCTTACCTATAGACCTTGCACTGCTATCTATATAGCATAATCACCAAAATATGATGTTTTTGCACTGCCTGCAGCAGCCATAAAGATTAACCATAATATGAAGTCTTTATACTGCTACTATAGTTGTAGAGCTTATCACCAAACATGACACTCTTATACTGCCTGCAATTACAAAGATTAATCACTAAACATAAAACTTTTTCACTGCCTGCGATAGCAATAAAGCCTAATTACAAGAGGTCCTTGAATTTTTATTATGGCCATAGGAGCCTACTTACGATATAAGGTCATTGTAATTCTATCATAGTTGCGGAGTATAATCACCAAACATAAAGTTATTATAAGTCATTATTACTACTAAAATTACTTTGCCCATCCATGGATTGCTTCCATATAATGGACTTTTTTTTAATTTCTAATATATTTTTGATCACCAACTTAACATTTATACCTAATAAATTTGATATTAACAAAGATAGTAAAAAAAGTTTCTTTTCACAGTCATTCACCCAGCTAGTAAATTTACTCAAACCTGTTAAATTAAATATAAATGCATAAATATTTATCAAAATCTGTCATATGATCTAGCACGATACGATATATTAACCTTATTACTAACTCCCTTTAAGCAACTCAAGCGCCTAGTTGAGAAATAAACTTTTTTAAACGTTTATAAGCTTTAATTATAAAAATTTGAAAAGGTTTATTTATCGATAAAACTGTCGTTTTTAAAAAAATTTAAAAAATTTAAGAAAGCATTTTACTGAAACTATAATTGATGAGGGTTGTATTAATATAAATTAAAATTTTATTCAATATTAAAAATTTTAACCTCTTATAGCGTAAAAATTTCAACATTCACTATGTTTTATAAAAAAAAAAAGAGTTACAAGCCCATGACTTTTGTCAGGAGAGTGTACAGTTGCCTCCAAAAATTTAATACGGCTATACAAAAAAACAAAAAAACTTATCCATTTAGAATATGTAGAAAATATTAAAAGTCAACGCTTGGCGACAAAGGCCACCTTCAAGACTTACGAAACTTTAAAGATGGCATAGAAATATTAAATTATGCAATTTGTTTTTGTGTAACCGTGTTAAACTTTTGAAGGCAACTGTACTTCTGCAAAATCTATTATCCGATTGGTCGGCATGACTTTATCTGTCACATATTGTCTATTCTGCATTCCTTGTGTCAATTGCCATGAGACATAGCCACTTTTGAATTTAGAAATAATATCTGCTTAACATATAAATTTATTTGAATCATTTATTGATCAATTTAACAATGAACTCTCCTGAAAAAAATCAATAACTAATAATTATTGACCGTTTAATTTCTGTTTCGAAGCAAATAAACTAGATCTTTTTCCTTATTTTCTTGTAACTTGTATTTTGCGAGATGTCAAGTAAATTAAATCTAGATCCTAAACAAATAATACTGATTCTATCATGCTATACAGTTATTTAGTATAAAATCTGTTTGATCAATAAAATTTAGGTAAATCAAGCTTATATATCTGGGGAATAGACCAGGAAAACCACTGTTTGAAAACTTGATTTCAAATAAGCGTTTTTTTTAGTCCATACCCATATTAGTTAAACCCCTACCTTAAAATATTCTGACCTCGAACAATGTAAAAATCAAAATATATGTCAAATAAAAAAACCCTATTTTATAATAAATAAAGTGTCAACCAAACATTGGCTATAGTAAGCACACTCAATACAGAATGATATATTATTGTTTATTACACTTAATGAGAGTTTGGAACCGGTTTTATTTTCACAAGTTAAAACAGTTTTAACATGTAAAAAAATAATCTGTCTGCTCATAATTGTTGTACCAGTTACTTTAACAAAGTCGCACAGCTACTAATTTGACAATAATCAAAATTTTCTGATTGGCCTAATTGGTTATTTGGTTTGTATATCCAGATCAAGACCACTTGACCAATTTGACTAGACCAGCTTGACCGAAAACCCTTTGACCAATGACCAGCAAATTTATAGTCGATCACTAATTTGATCAAAACTGATGATAATGTATATTGTACAGCTTTCAAATTTAATTTTTATTAATGTCCTATGTGCACAACCCGTTAATAAATATTACAGAACAAATATGAAAAAAAAAATATGTGAGACGAAATTAACAATCATATATCAAGGCATTTTTGTGGCTGAATAATGAATTAAAAAAATCACAGCTTTTTTTCCAATCATTTTAATTTTCTTTAACGCTTTGCACCAAAGAACATAAGAAGTTTCCAAGATTTGCACATATGGGTGAAGTTCTTTTTGACGATGGGTAGAAGGAAAAACTTTAGTCCACAACCGAATTGGTGCAAATACCAGGTCCATTAAAAGTTGTGATTTCGGGCAATCATCATAGCATGAGCACAACATATTGTTTGCAACTACTGTGCCAGAACGTGTATAAAAACTGATATAACTAGTGTCTTTTTCCTAATTTTAAAAATTACTTATTGTTAGATTACGAAAGACGCGCTGATCAACAAAAGTAACAATCTTACAATATCAAGCCAATCAATAACAACAGGAACAAGTTCATTCGATTTATTCAAAACTAGAATTTTGGTTTCTCCTGGTACTATATCATGAGCATATAAGAGTGATAAATCACTATTAAAAATGCAATGAGCAGGTGTCATACGAATATAACCTGTTAAAAAAGAAAATATTAGAATCACAAAATCTTAAGGGTACTAGCAGATGAAACTAAATTACCTTTACTTCCATCGGGGTTTGTGAATATAAGTTTTACCATATCAACGAGTTGATCGTGATGTCCCAGATGAGATATCAAATAAACTTCCGAAAACTCGAGATGGTTATTTTTTACATTACTTAAAACAAAATCACCAACTTGAAGTCCAGCCATTTCTATCAATTTACCGTTGGAAAGTTGCACCTTTGTATCAAGAGCAAAACAGCCTTCATCCCTCTATAGAAATTTAATTATACAAAAGAAATATATATATGAAACTGTGAGAAATGATAATTTATATCGTACAAATAAAAAAAAATAAAATGTAAAGTTATCATACATTTGCAAGCTGTCTTTGCAATTCCGCAGCTTGATTTGCCATCGCAGCTAAAGACTCCCTTTGTCTTTGTTCAAATTCCTCTTTCCTTCTGTTGATTTCTTCTTGATGTGCTCTATCAGCTCTCTCTTTCTCTTCTCTTCTTAACCTTTCTTCGTGCTCTTCCCTTATCCGTCTTTCTTCCTCTTGCTTTTCACGTTGAATTCTCTCTTGCTCTTGTCTGGCTAATTCCAACATATGTGTAGTGTAGGAACCTGATGTGCTTATGATGAAGTCTTTAATCTCTCTTAATCTTAATTGGTGTTTTTGATGTTCTGGAGGGAAGTAATCAGAATTTGGAGATATCCCCCACCGGTTTCCTATACTACTAATGAAATAAGCAACAGTCGGATCCCAAGCTTTTCGCATTTCATCCTTGTCTTCATTCTGTTTTTTTGTTGCATGAGAAAAAACTGCAATCATATAATTCAATGCATCTTCTCCAAGAAACGTTTTTATATTATTCAGAACATTTTTTTGTTCTTCTGTAAATCGTTTTGCTTCTGCATAATAAGTAAAAATAATACGGTCATTGTTGACATTATGTAATCATATTATGCATTAAAACTCTCATTCCGTGAAAGTATATAAATTATCACTTACCAAAAACAAAAAGGATAGCTCTTACTCCATGTGCACATTTTTGAACTGTTTTGGCAATTTCTTTGAAGACTTCCTCGTCAGGTTTACTTGTATCAAAAATTCCCGGTGTGTCGACGATGTTAAATTTCTGACCATCAATTGTAACTTCTGACGCTCTACATATTTGTGTACAGGAATCCTATTTGGTATATTTTTAGCTTCAGAGTGAATACAATATATAAAATATGATATGATTACGTACCATCGCATCTGAAACAACAAAAGGTCCGCCGTCATGTGATTGGTCGAGAAGCAAGTTACCAAGAGTACTTTTTCCAGCACCTTGATAATACTGTATCTTTAATTAAATAAATAAATGAAATTTTTTAAATTTTTTGTAATGCTTGCCTGTTTTTCCTACTAAGAGGATTACGGGATAATTAAGGTTGATTTGAGAACCTTCGGAAAATACTGGTATTGTTCTAGTTATGAGTATTTAAAAAGAAAGTGAATAATTAACATGAAATAATTTTCATTTACTATCAACATTACTCAACTGGCTCATTTCGTTTAAATTTAAATAGATAAAGAAGAAATGTTGATTGTAGCCTATTTATAATCGATATTTCGGCATACTTCACTGAAGAAGCCGATAAAGGGTTCTTCCAATATAGTGGGTCGAGGCTGATTTTTATGTTACACGACATTTACATATATAATTCAATGAATAGAACGCGTAATCAACCATAATCTAGACATTTAAATTTATTCAATAAAATCGATTCTCCGGAAACACCCATGTATGATCTTGTAATACTAGGTGTATACATAAAGTTATCGATCTTTATTATTCTTGAACAACATGATGCATTGACAATTTGTAATGCCAAATCATTTATCTTATGCATTAATATTGGTTTTGTATACCTATTGTAAACAAAGTAGGAAATCAAATCTGATTTTACAGGCGTAAAAATATGACGGACTGGCAATTAGAACCCTGCATGGGCTAAAAATTTGTACTTTTGCTGGCCCACAAAATAAAATTTACTGTTTTTTAAAATTTTGGCCCGTAATTTACTATGTTCTTGACACACCAGGCCCGCAATTTTGAGAGGTTTTTGAAAATTTCAAATTTCGGCCCGGTCTGTGCAGGCCTCTACTGGCAATAACGCAAAGTGCACATTATAAATAGTGATGGATAATTTGCGAATTTTTTAATGCGATTGAAGGGACCAGTCTCTAATTTTCTTTGCACAATATGTAGATGTAAAATTTTTCTGTTTCATCCTTATCCAAATTTAACAAAAAAGTAAGGGAATCATTTGTTATTTTCAATCACACGTTAACAATTCACAATTTTAGAATTCTGCACAACTGGGCACAGTTCATTCCGTGACAATAGGATTAAATTTTAGCTAATAAAAATTTATATATCACGCAATATAAAAAATACATGATAACTGATAATGTATATTGTGCAGCTTTCTAATTGGAAATTTTTATTAATGTCCTATGTGCACAGCCCGCTAATAAATATTTACAGAACAAATATGAAAAAAATATAAATATGACAAAATTAACAATTATATAGCAAGGCACTTTTGTGATTGAATAATGAATTAAAAAATCACAGCTTTTTTTCCAATCATTTTAATTTTCTCTAACACTTTGCACCAAAGAACATAAGAAGTTTCCAATATTTGCGCATATAGGTGAAGTTCTTTTTGACGATGGGTAGAAGGAAAAACTTTAGTCCACAACCGAATTGGTGCAAATACCAGGTCCATTAAAAGTTGTGATTTCGGGCAATCATCATAGCATGAGCACAACATATTGTTTGCAACTACTGTGCCAGAACGTGTATAAAAACTGATATAACTAGTGTCTTTTTCCTAATTTTAAAAAATTATTTTTGTTAGATCACGAAAGACACGCGCTGATCAACAAAAGTAAAAATCTTACAATATCAAGCCAATCAATAACAACAGGAACAAGTTCATTTAATTTATTCAGAACTAGTATTTTGGTTTCACCTGGTACTATATCATGAGCATATAAGAGTGATAAATCACTATTGAAAATGCAATGAGTAGGTGTCATACGAATATAACCTGTTAAAAAAGAAAATATTAGAATCACCAAGATCTTAAGGGTGCCAGCAGATGAAAAGTAAATTACCTTTACTTCCATCAGGGTTTGTGAAGTTAAGTTTTGCCATATCAGCGAGTTGATCGCGATGTCCCAGATGAGATATCAGATAAACTTCCGAAAACTCGAGATGGTTATTTTTTACATTACTTAAAACAATATCACCGACTTGGAGTTCAGCCATTTCTATCAATTTACCGTTGGAAAGTTGCACCTTTGTATCAAGAGCAAAACAGCCTCCGTCCCTCTATAGAAATTTAATTTTACAAAAGAAATATATATATGAAACTATGAGAAATGATAATTTATATCGTACAAAATACAAATACAAATAAAAAGTATATGTAAAGTTATCGTACATCTGCAAGCTGTCTTTGCAATTCCGAAATTTTATTTGTCATCGCAGCTAAAGATTCATTTTGTTTTTGATCAAATTCGCTTCTCATTCTAATCATTTGTTCTTGAAATTCTTTATCAGCTTTCTCTTTTCCTTCTCTTCTTAACCTTTCTTCGTGCTCTACTCTTAATCGATTTTCTTCCTCTTGCTTTTCACGTTGGATTTTCTCTTGCTCTTGTCGAGCTGATTCCAACATATCTGTAGTGTAACAACCTGATGTGCTCATGATGAAGTCCTTGATCTCTCTCAATCTTGATTGGTGTTTTTCATGTTCTGGAGGGTAGTAATCAGAATTTGGAGATATCCCCCACCGGTTTCCTATTTTCCCAATGAAGGAGGTAATAGTCGGATTCCAAGCTTTTCGCATTTCATCCCTGTCTGCATTCTGTTTTTTTGTTGCATGAGAAAAAATAGCGATTATATAATTCAATGCACCTTCACCAAGAAATGCTCTTATGCCATTTAGGACATTTCCTTGTTCTTTGGTAAACCGTTTTGCTTCTGTAGAGTAAGTAAAAATAATATAGTCATTATTCTCATCTAATACAGTAATAAAAGGGATAAATTATTACATACCGAAAACAAAAAGGATAGCTTTGACACCATAAGCACATTTTTGAACTGTTTTAGCAATTTCTTTATAAATTTCCTCATCAGGTTTACTTGTGTCAAAAATTCCTGGTGTATCGACAATATTAAATCTCGCGCCATCGATTATCACCTCTGACTCGCCGCATACTTGTGTGCAGGAAGCCTATTTGGTATATCTTTAGTTTCAAAGTGAATAGCATATATTAAATACGAATATGATCACGCACCATATTATCTGAAACAATGAAAGGACCTTCATCATATGGCTGATTGAGAAGCAAGTTACCGAGAGTACTTTTTCCAGCACCTTGATAATGTTAATATCTTTAATTAACTAATTAACTAAATAAATGAAGTTAAAAAAAATTTTGTAATACTTGCCTGTTCTTCCTACTAAGAGGATTACTGGATATCTAAGGTTAATTTGAGATCCTTCAGAAACTACTGGTATTGCTCTAGTTGTGAGTATTTGAGAAAGTAACAGTGAATATTTATCGTTAAAATAATTTCATCTACTACCTAACATTACTCAACTGGCTCATTTCGTTTAATCCGCACAATCTGAATACATTGAGAAAAAATGTCTATAATATTTATAATCAATATTGCAGACTAACTTTTCTGTTGCACAACATTTACATATATAACTCAATGATAGTAAGAATTAGATCTGTTGAAAATAATTTAATCCAGGTCACCTGTTAAAATATCCGGGTAACAAATAAGATAAGCATAATCCTTGCAAATATGATTTGATCGATTAAGGAATTATCATTTAATACTGATACATATATCGGGTGAGTGAAAAATCCTTTATCAAGACCTTTTCGTTAATTATTATTTAGTAGTTGCATTATTATACCAAAATATATTGCAAATATACATCAATACAAAAAAACTTTTATTATCAGCTGAGATAGTAAAAAAAGGACCTGTTTAGGGATTTTTCACCCACGCAGTATACATTCAGGCCTCTCTCTCTAAACGCACTTAGAGAATCATAAGAAAAAATGCATTTATGGAAGTCACGTATATATTTAGACCGGAATTGAGTGCATTTAGAAAGGTGCATTTAGAGAGGTTTCACTGGCTAATAAAACCTGCGGATAACCCGAGTACGGGTGCAATCCCTAAACAATACGTAGAACGTAATTATATAACCAACTACTGTATATAACTAGTAATATCTATACATTTAAAGTTATTCAATAAGATCAATTCCCGTAAATGCCCACATAAAGTTATCGGTTTTTATGATAAAAGGATTCCTTAAACATGACAATATAGTTAAAAAACTATGTACATACTCATGTACGCATACATTGCAACTTGTAATGACAATCACTTTGTCTAGAGTTCCATTTATCCATATCCGGATATCCATTTACTATTGATATCGGGTAATCCGATAAATATTCAGATAATTATCCGGATAACAATAGTAAAACGGATATCCGATAGATAAACGGGACCCCTATCGCTATCTTCATATTGGTTTCTTATGAACAAAATCTGAATGTATAGCGGCAATCAAAAAATAGCGATAGAAATCTGTATTATAACATCCAAATTTGGGTACAATGACATGATGTTATAACATCCAAATTTGGGTACAATGACATGTGGCGATCAAATCTGGTATTACTGGGAACGTGTGACAAACTGGGCAAGCGCAAAAGAAACAAGCTCTACTCAAAGCGTACGCTGCAAATAGTGATGGATGATTGCGAATTTTTTTTAATAAATCTTGCGTTTGATGCATGTGATTGAATGTAAAAACCCCAAATTTTCCTTGCAAAATCTGTGAATATAAATTTATTATTATATTATTTATCGAAAATCTTTTAACCAAAATTACGTTAATGCGATTAAGGCTGGTTCAAAGCTAAGCCATGCGGTATACTATGTGTGATAACCACAGATTGTAACAATACAAAATTGATTCGTGATTGTTTTTTATTACAATACATTCCGTATATTATTGCGCTTTGCAAAAAAGTGTAACCCCACAATTTTCGTGACAACGATAATGGGAAATTTCGGAGATTCCAAATAGTCATCAATCATATATCCAATCAGTAATATTTCTATCTATTTTGAAATCTGTAAAATTCTCTTAGAATCGAAAAATCGCCAATTTCCCGTGATTTTACATGTTATCATGATCTGCGAGGGCCACACTATTTTGCAAAGCGCAATAATGAATAAAGAAACATAAAAAAATGATATTTTTATTTATTAATAAGAATACTTTCTGTCAAAGTTATTTATAGATTTATTTAATGCGTTCAAATTAGAAAAAATAGTGTCGCTAAATGAATACCTGTAATTCTAAGAATAGACTATTATAAAATTCATAATAATCTATTTTCAAAATTACGGATGTATTACACCTGGACATGAAAATTAAGAATTTTAAATATGCATGTGAGGCATTAGCATATTTGAAGAATGGGAGATGTTTTCAAAAGCATATTATTATGTTGAATTATAAATCTGAAAAATAAAATAAAATTCTCTGATTTCAATTTTAAACCCCAATAGATGTAACTTTGATGAAATTTGTAGATCGTTACATATCCACACAATCACTCGAATTGTTGTACGTTTGCGCGATTATACGTACAAAGATTTTTTAGTACGTTGTGATCAGGGCACAAAATTTCCAAGTAATGTTATATGCTCTTTTTTTCGTCAATGTTCTTTTTTTAAAATCAGAATTTAGATGAGAACTTATAAACCACAGCCGGAGTACGGAATTTTACAATAAGATTTGTGTCCTGGTGAGGATGGCAAATTTCATGAAAATCATATATTTATATTGAATCTTTGGCCAAAAAAACTCACTTTACAATCACGCAATCGAATAACAATCAGGTGATCTATACATGGTAAGCAGTCGAGCCTCTTCATTAACCTAATCGTTATGTACACAGCATATATTCTACAAACTTTTCAAATTACTGTGATCAGCAAATTTCATGTATCACACTGAGAACCAGAAATAGAATTTTTAGCCAATCATGTATTTGTATGTATTTTAGATTTCTTATATGTTGATCACAGTAATTTGAAAAGCATTTCAAATCCAATTAAATTCTGTTTCCGCTTACAACATATATATTTTTTTTAGTTTAAAGGGTTTCGAACCCATACGAGACCAGATTTTGGGTCTAGATCGAAAAGATGAGAATTTACAAAATTAACGGAATAACAAAAAATTTTGACAAAATTTTCGTAACAATGTATGCACCACTTTAAAGGCAGATATCTTAATTCATTCATAGGCAAGTTAATTTTATAGACAATTTATGAATAAGCTAGTTTTATAGATAGTACATATATTTATTATAACTATTATGCTTATTACCGTAAAAAAATCACAACTTAAAAAGTTGCAACTTTCAATTTCATTAAACTTATTACCGCAAGCAACCTAAAAAAGAGAACATAATTTCTATAGAATTTATTTATACAAAATGAATAGAATCAGGTATACATGAAACTATGAGAAAATACCAATCATAAATTTGTAAATATAAACATTGTCATACCACTAAACCTTTAATCCTTTCTATCAAGTCCGCAATTTGATTTGTAATCGTAGTTAAAGACTCTTGTTGCTTTTGTTCAAATTCATTTTTCATTCTAATCATTTCTTCTTGATATGCTCTATCGGCTTTCTCTTTTCCTTCTCTTTTTACCCTTTCCTCGTACTCTACCTTTATTCGTCTTTCTTCCTCTTGCTGTTCACGTTGAATTTTCTCTTGTTCTTGTCTAGCTGATTCCAACATATCCGTAGTATAAAATCCTGATGTACTGATGATGAAATCTTTAATCTCTCTTAATCTTAATTGGTGGTTTTCATGTTCTGGAGGAAAATAATCTGAATCTGGTGATATCCCCCACCGGTTTCCTATGCTACCAATGAAGGTGGAAATGGCTGGATTCCAAGCTTTTCGCATTTCATCCTTGTCTGCATTCTGTTTTTTTGTTGCATGTGAAAAAACTGCAATTATATAATTCAATGCACTTTCTCCAAGAAATGCTTTTATGCCATTTAGGACATTTCCTTGTTCTTCGGTAAACCGCTTTGCTTCTTTAGAGTAAATAAAAATAATACTATCATTATTGCCATTATTGTACATAATCATCCTATGCATTAAAACTTTCATCCTGTAAAAGGGTTAAGTTATCACGTACCGAAAACAAAAAGAATTGCTTTGATACCATAAGCACATTTTTGAACTGTTTCGGCAATTTCTTTGTAGATTTCTTCGTTAGGTCTACTTGTATCAAAAATTCCTGGTGTGTCAACAATATTAAATTTCTGATCATCAATTGTCACTTCTGACTCGACACATAATTGCGTGCAGGAGTCCTAAATAGTTTATTTTTAGTTTCGAAAGAAATTGTACGTATAAAATACGAATATGTCCACTAACCATCTTTTCTGAAACTATAAAAGGTCCTTCATCATGTGGCTGACCGAGAAGCAAGTTACCAAGTGTACTTTTTCCAGCTCCTTGATAATGCTATATCTTTAATTAAATAAATAAATAATATTTAAAAGAATTTTTTGTAATGCTTGCCTGTTTTTCCTACAATTAGAATTACAGGGTAATTAAGGTTGATTTGAGAACCTTCGGAAACTTTTGGCCTTGTTCTAATTATGGATATTTAAACAAAAATTGAATCGTTAAATAATGTTCATTTAAAATTCATTTATTATCGACATTACTCAACTGACTCATTTCATTAAATTTGATAATATAAGATGAAATGATGTTTATTGTAATCTATTTATAATCGATACTTTGGCGTAGGAAAAGCTTTTTTGATATAATGAATCAGGCTGATTTTTTGTTGCACAACATTTACATATATATATATAACTTAATGATAGAACGCGTAATTAAATATGTAGTTTTTATCCTAGCCTATTCATTTAAATATATTCAATAAAGACCAATTCGCAGATGTGCCGGGATAGCTATATATGTGACTTGTAATACTAGATGTATCCAGATTTTCTTATCTATGCATAAAGTTATCGGTCTTTATTATAAATAATTCTTTTGAACATAATAACACATTGAAAAATCACTTTATCTCACGTATGCATTCATAACTGTTATACGTAGTTGATCATTTCCATTAGATTTCCCTTTTTGAATTCTAAATCTGCAGTCTAGAAATGATACAATCTAGATATTATAACATCAAAATTCGGATAAATTTCGGTATAGCAATGGCGATAAGGCGTAAAATATGCAACAAAACTGTGCATAACGATAACCGGACAAAAAAAAGAAAAAAATCAGGATTTTTTTATGGTACTGAACAGGTTTTTGTCTAGATTGACGAATTAAGGTGCATGGTGAAAAATAGTACTAGGTCGAAATCGAGTCACACTAAATACAAACAAACCAATGCTACCAAAATACTCGCTAACTCGGATCCTAATAGTGAAAGACTACGATTGAGACGCGGAAATATTTGGTCCGAATTCCTAGGATCAATTAGAGCTCTAGACTTCGTCATGGTTCTTTTAATGCAAAGTCACGGGGTTTATTCACTAATTCCTAACGACCCTAGCGTCACCCACAAAAAATAGTAGCCGGACAGATCTGCCGGGTACATTTGATTATGTGATTCATGTACATGAACATATGTCCAAGAAAATTATTGGACATGGACAGTCCATGGACATTGTCCAATGTCCATGTCCCATAGTTATCTGCGTCCCGATAATGTACTTGGCATGTCCAAGCACACTATTGGCTAATCGGTAATAATTCGAACAGCGCTATGTCATTTGTCCATGGACAGTCATGAATATGTCCATGTCCATTGACAATACTGATCATTACCATACAATAACGAAGAAAATAAATTTTCTTATACCATCGTTACTGCTGTGCTGTTATCGCTTAAAATTTTTTATGGATTTTGCTTATAGTTTTATTCTACTTTATATTTATTAGAATTTTTTTTCTTTGATTATTAGCACATTTATATCAACAAAAATTCTTTTTACAAGGCCATACAAATTTACATTTTCGGCTTTCATATCCCGGCCAGGCCAGTAGAGAGAGAATCCAAAATTTTTATTTTTTAATATATAAACCAATAGAAATCTTCCACGCATATCATGTGACAAAAACAAAATTGTATCGTTGGTTTTTTTTTTTTTTTGCATTGATCTATCGTAAGTACCGCCTAAATACTAATCAGTGACATACTGTATACAGTTTACCCTCGTTATAACGGACCCGTTATAGACGTATTTTACCGTCATTCATAATGTGTAATTTGCACTTGGTCTCACTTCAAAAAAGAACCCATTTATATATAATTGTACACTTAATTCCCTGGCATACCACCAAAGTCATTAATGAAACCAATGAAACATTAATTAAAATCAGATCATTATAATTATTAGCTAAATAAAAAGATACAATTCAAAAACAGCACAGAGTATGGCGCTTTGTGTTCTAATCACAAACCACCTAAAATTTTTTTATGCCTACCGCAAAAGAATATTTTCTTAATGAGATTTATTATAAAAATTTTTAAATTGATTTGTCTTCGAATGATGTTACTAATAAATTTAGCCAGCTTTAGTAGTATCCAACTGAGTACGTAAATTGTATCAATTATAGTTTTAGGTTTAAAAAACTATATTTCACAAAAATTGCGACATAAATTTTACTAATCAAGGCTATTTTCAAATTATCACTAGTATACAATGCTTTTTATTTCACACACCCACGCTCTTAGTATCAAAGTTTTGGCATAAGGCCATACAAACTTATATTTTCAGTTTTCATATCTCGCCAATTCAGCGGAACGGAAATCCAAAATTTACAGTATATATTTTTTTAATATATCAACCAATAGAACATTCCATATCATATGGTGAATCAAAGTAAATCGTTAAGTTCTTGCGAAAAGTGACAGTTTCAGCTTCTAATTTCATTGTAATCTTTTTTGTATTGATAGATCATAATGAGTACCGTCTAATCAGCAAGATACTGTATAATGCGTAATCGAAAGAATATACCCGATCTCAATAAATGGTAATGAACCTTATTTTATCAACACTCATAATGCGTAACTTGAACTAGACTACACTTAGTTTATTTCAAAAAGAACCACCGCCAAGGTAAATCTGGACCTGAAAATTGTAACTTATTATTCGGCGAACTTAGTCTTTGAAAAAATCATTAGTGATTCATCAGTGATGTGTCATTTTGGTATCATGTGCCTTGATTATATAATTACTCTTCATATTGACATTTTATTTTTTTATATTAGGATACTGCCATCATTCATAAACCACTAATGATCTTGCAGGAGTCAAGTTCGCCGAATAATAAACTACAATTTTCAGATCCAGGTTTCCCTTGGTGGCATTCATATAGTTGTTACACTTAATCCTCCCAGCAGTGTTGGCACTTGAATTCTGGAACCCCATTGGACGTTCAGATTCTTCCAGAGTTCCAGTGTTTTCAGCGAGAAATCTCACTGGAACGATTTTCTTACTGGAATTTTTATAGAAAAATATTCATATGGAATGGCTAATTTCATCGATTAAATATGATCACTAACTAGTATGTGAACAATTCTTCATTCTTTATTATTAGTGAAGCTTCGCTTTTTTTAAATAGTAATTCTGTCTATTTCTAGTCAACACACTTCCAACTCTAGAGGTTCTTGCCTATCTGGCTACTATGACTGAGTACTATGACCTTGGTATCCATTTTCTCAGGCTAGCCTTTACAGTAGGGCCATCAAAGATCCAGCTACCTTTCTATTTAAGTCTTTCCAAATGGACTTCTTGTTACCTAATTTCAACAGATTTACACAGCCACAAGGACTTATTTAGTGTTTGTATTACCTAATTTGTTGGTTTGTATTTCTCTGTATAACATCATACTTATACAGATGCCTCATGACCTGTCAGTCATGCTGGTGTGACCACTATTACAGGTATCCTAACCCAATCATTAGTAACAGTTGCCATAATATGAATATTACATAGGTAATTATGCAAATTTTCACTATCAATAGGATTTAAACACCCAATCTACTACTTGAGGGGTTGACAATCTAACTACTTCACTAGGTTGTCACACTCCTTGTTTGTATATAATTTTACTAATTAAAATACTTAATTTTTATTAAAGAAATTTTATAAAGTTTAAATAATTTTTAAAAATACATTAATTTAAGAATAAAAATATATTAAAAATAAAAGCTTGATGGAGATGGAGTTCTGTAGCCTAGTGGTCTAAGTACTTCTTTCTTTACAAACAAGATCAATAGTTTAATTCTAGATAGAAGCAAAAATTCTGTAATCTATAAAAGCATATAAATGTATATAAAACTCTGTAACTTAAATCTATATAAATAGAAGATTAATGTACAAAAAAATTTCTGGAAAGAAGTTTTTCAATATGAATTAAAAGTACAATAAAAAATTATTAAAATAAAAATTTTTATCATTAAATAGAAATTTTAATTAAGGTTTCTTAAATTTAAATCAAATCAAATATTAGATCGATTTATATTTAATTAAATTAAATATACTCTAATTGAATTTGATTTAATTCAAATATTTGATCAAATATTTGAATTTGATTTGATTTAAAAAAATTTTTTTAAAATATTAATTGGTAAAAAGAAAACTATTGAATCAAATATATACTATGCTGAAAGTTGAGAT